AAAATGCTCATGTGGTCCCCAAACCAGAAAGCAGGCAGAATGCAATGTGGAGGGCAGACCACCTTACCTAGGCCTCTGAGCCACCTCCTAATCCCCAGCTGCAGGATGGGTGAGCCGCCAGGGCTCTCCAGGGGCTGGCAGAAAGGTCCAGGCCTTCTCTGTCCCATGGGAAGGACTGTCTCAATGAGGACGGATGGAGTGACAGTGGGGGTGACTGTTCCTACAATGTCTTCCAGGAATTTAGCTTTTTTGAAGAGCTTTACCTGGGTGATCAGTTGATTCCCTCTGCGTCTGGGCATGGCAGTAGAAAACGCCACTTCCCCAAAGTGAAGCCATTTGAGAAAAGGCTAGATTTTTTTTTTCTTTCCAAAGAACTTTATTAAGAAACAGAAGGGGGGGGTGGATATAAAGTACAAAACAGAGGAATGATTCTTTATCCTGTGCCAACTAAAAGACAGTAGACTGATTGATACCACTACTTGGGTACCAAGGGCCCTGTCCCTTTCCCCCGCCGCTGACTCCGTGCTGGCTGCTAAACCAGTCGGTCAAACTTTCCATGGAGGCAAGTTCAGATTCCCTTCTCGAACAGTCCCATACCTACTCCACATCTTCTCTAGGTCCTGGAGACGAGCAAGTCATTTTCTCACCAGGCCCTAAAGTTCCTCACCTATGGCTTGCACCTCCTTCACCCTTCTAATCACAGGAGCCCCCAGACTGGCTCCTGTCAAGATCCAGTTAATAAAATCATATCCATGGTTGGGTAGGCTGGCCAACTCCTTGTAGTCACAAACACCTATTTTCCAAAGCCAGCATCTGGACTTAGATTTTTCACTGTAGGAATGTTTGGATACCCTAGTCCAAGACTCCCCTTTTCCAGTACAGAATTTTCCAGTCCACCATTAAATGAAGAGATAGCTCTCATTCTCAGCTTACCTGCCTACAAGAAATGGTCCAGTATCTTGATCTTGGCACTTATTGATCAAACCTTGCCCAGCTCATGTCACTAACTTCTTGAGAAGTTTTCACATCTTGACTGGATGTCTGCACCTCTATTATGTTCTCTCTATAGATTTATAATATGTCATTGTTTTGTGATACAGCAGTGAAAGCGCACGCTCGCCTTCCAAATGAAATTTTCTCCAGATTATCAAAAGATCAAGTTCCTTCTGCTATTTTTTTAGAAAAGCATTTCCCCCCCCCCCCAAACGTCTACAGTTATCAGTACTCTGTTAGTCTGGTTCTAAGCTGGCTTTTAGGGACAGTACTGATACTGTCTTAGCATGTGGCTGCTTCAAACAAAAGGAAACCAAGAAAGGCATGTCTCCTTTAGAACAGAAGATGCTTTGCAGATAACAGCTTTCCTGAATTCTTACCTTATAACCTGTAGACACAGCACTACACTCACCACGGTACTAGAGAAATATCAGGTCAATACTAGGTTTTTACTAAACACCTCCTAGTAACTGAGTTTTATGGTGTACGAAATCCTTCCACATGCTTCATATTCAAGTCTCACAACCACCTAGTGAGGTGGGCATGGTAGATTTCATTCCCCCACGTCCTTGGAGAAACTTGAGGCTTGGAGTGGTAAGGAACCAGACCAAGCTCAGATGGCTACTTGGAGGAAGAGCCACACTCCACCCATACCTGTGGCCCTCGCACCCTCTTTTCTTGGAATAAAGAATATGAAGCTGGTTTTCCTCCCTTTCTCCCTACCTGGACTTTTTTCTCACTTCAACAATGCATGGACAGCACCAATAGGAAAAGGAATATTCTATCCAGTGAGATATCTTAGTTCAGTGCTGCGTAGGTAGGGCTGCTGTGTCTTTCATAACACTTCCAATTTCTTAAAATCTGTAGCTTAACTAGAATGTTGTACCCTTGCTGTTGAGCTTTCTGCAGGATTCACTAGGATTCTAAGGTCAGAGAGCTTCCCGCCACCCCCCACCCCCGCCGCGTCTTTAAAGTCCAATTTCCCAAAATCCCTACAGCTTCCTAGAAACTCTCTGATCTCTAGAGCAACTTTGGGACTCTTTCCTTGCTTTTAGGCGACTTCTGTTTCTATTCCTGCTTTGTCACTTGGGTGAGCTATCTGGCTGGGGCTGTTTCACGAGCCAGCCCCTCTGTGGCTCTATTCTAAGCCGAAGGGGTACAATCCCTGAGAATCCATGTCACTTACTTCCCTTTCTCAAAGCAGAACAATACAATTTCCTGTCTTTCTTTGGCTTGGAACTGAGTTATCTTTTAGGAGGCTTATAGTGACCAATGCTCACAAAGTCCCTCTCTGGTATTTCCCATGAGCCACAAGCTGTGCAAACTGAGCAGCTAGGGCTCTGTCTTTGAGCTGAAAGGTCTTTAGAAAGAGTCACAGCGTTGTCCTATCCCTCTTCTAGTTGCCCTCTCATTTCATAGACATTTATTAAGAGTGCCTCTTATGTGCCAACACTCAGCTAGATCTACAGCCGCAAAGGAGACGCAGCCCCTGTTCTCACAGGGCTCCACCCACTCTAGTTGATTCCACAGAACCACCACTGCCGGTTTCCAGTTGTAAACTCAACAGGGTCTTCTATTTTCTGGGCACAATAATCTGAACACCCTGGGGGACTGCTTGAGTCCTGCATACCTTCCCAAGGTGTGTTCCTTGGTCATTTGTCCTGTCTGGCCAGCGTGACTCTCTTCCTCAAATTCTTTATCTTTGCTGCCCCATCATCTCTTTTGCTTTAAGTGACTTACTCATTCTCAAGCCCAGCAGCTCTTCCTGACTATTCAGAGGTGCATTTTCCATTAGAAGTAAGCATCCATTACATGTTATTGAATAGATAATAACTACAGTAGCAATGTGCTTATATGAATAATAGCCCACAATAACTCAAAGAGACCCCAATGTCTCCCAAGTCACTATTTACAAATCCTGATCCTATTTCCACGCGAGAATTAGTCAGTTATTTTTATCTAGTTGCGATCACTGTCACTGGAATTCCAAATTTCCCCTTTTTGCTTCCCTAATGATTGCATCATCTAATTCCATTTCTCCTGCACAGCTTGTATATAAGAAAGCAGCATCCCATTGTCCTGGCACCCCACAATCTGTTCAGCTGTCACACCCACAGCTGAGCAAATTCCAGTTAATAATAAAGAGGGGAGCACACGTATTCACATCTCTGTGCAAATATGTGCCTTTTTGGTTTATGTTCCCAGAATATATTCCCCCAAAATGAGATAACTTGTCTAATTTATATATATATATTTTTAAAACTCTTGTCAAGTATTGCCAAACTGCGCTCCAGGAAGGCTGGACCATTTCATAGTGACATGAGTCAATTTCCCCACAGCACATTCTTCACATTTACTTTCAATGCGTGCCAGTGGTTTCATCTGACAATTTTCCCATCTCACTTAGTCCTTGCCCATGTATATGCTTCCTTAGGGATTCACAGCCTCCTTGGTCCTTTGGACCATTTTTCTGAGTCACTGCAAATACTGGACACTTTGCTCTTACTTGCAAAATCAATCTGGCATAGCTTGCATATCTTGTGTGCCTACTCATAGAAACCCCATAAAACAGAATAGCACAGACCCACAGAATTTCCTAGGCTGGCTGTGATTCTTCCAGAAGCAAATTTTGGATGCTAAGACTGTCTCCCAGGGAGTTCTGGTGGCCTAGTAGCAAGAAGCAGCACTGCAATCCCAGAGGTATGCTGTTCGAATCCACCAGATGCTCTGCTGGAGAAGGCGGGGCAATCTCCTCCTGTATCAGTCAGATCTTATTTGATGGTGTACACACACACACAAAATAATAATAAATTTAAACAAAAATACTGTCTCCTGTGGAGTGCTGGCTGGATTCGAACTGTCAACCTTTCAGATGGCAGCTGAGTGCTTAACTATGCATCACCAGGCTCCTTTCTCTATTCTTGTCTGTCTTTTCGAATTTTTATTGTGGTAAATTTAACAAAAATCTTATTATCTTAACTTTTTTGTTTCATTTCGATTATCCTTGGCTGTGCAAACATTTTACATTGTTATGTCACTGAATTTGGACACCAGGACATCACTAACTACCCTTATTGTTTCAATAAACAAGAAGTGGCCTCCTTAGAAAAGGAGTTTCTTCTCCCTATACCTGCTGCCCTACACTTTCCACCTGAACTTGACCTTTACATTGTCTGCTCATTACCCATGATACCTCCATTAAGATTGCCTTTCCTTGTCATTTTCTTGATAGCCCTTGGCTAAACATATCCTTGCATACTCCAGCTCCTCTATGTCACTGTCACTGCCATTGCCTGTCAGGGCCAGTGGCCAAGGTTCCCAGTCCACTTCTCCTGCCCGTTCTGACCCCATTACCATTCTCCCACCTGGCTCAGCTATCCCCTTGCTCCACTTGGTGACTGCCAGGAAGACAAATGCCTCCTCTTAGTTCAGCCTAATAAAGACCAACATTTCTTAAAGGCAAAACAACAACAAAATAAGTTCCAGAAATGCAGACATTTCCCAAGCTCTCTGCCTTGCCTCCCACCGGCTCCCTAACACCCAGTTCTGCATTATAGGGGCCAACCCTGCCAGCTTTGGCACCTGTGGGTGTTGCCTCAAAGCCATCCCTTACATCCCTAGTCGATGCCATTGTTATAGGAGTCCCCTGCTATGGCAGGTGGGAGATGCCACTTAAGATGCTGAGCTGTGGACAGCTGAGCTCCCATGACTGTGTCTGTCATCTCCCCAAGACTCACCTTGGCTGTTCCACCCAGCTCAGTTATGAGAATGCAAGTCAGGCCACATTTTACAAGCATGGCACAGAGCAGTGGCCACCCCCAACACTGGAGTGGGGAGTGACCATGCCACCACCCTTGGTCCCTGAACGTCAGAAGAGGGCCTTGCAATTGGTTCTTCTCCCTTGAAAAGTCACCACCCCTGGCCCCCCAGGAATATGCCCTCACCTACGCCCTGCCAGGGCAGTCTTGCTCCCCTCTTTCCCTCCCCCCCCCCCCCACCTAGCCCCCTTAACTGTCAGGAGAGCGGACCCGAAAGACATGGATGGTCCCATTACTGAGGGACACGACAAGGAACCGCCCATCCACCATGGTGGTCACTCGCGGCTTTTCCAGGCCATGGTAGGCTGTGAGGAAATCTCCGAGCAGTGAGCCCTTAGGATCCAGTACCACCACCTTGTTGATCTCCCGAATGGTCAGAAAGATGTGGCCCTTCTTGTCCACAGTGACGGAGCCCGGCTGGCAGCCATGCAGGCCCGGCCCATTATATTCCCCGATCACGTGACCCAGCCCATCACAGACCACCAAGCTATTCTGCTGCCAATCGGACCCCACAAAGTGGCCCTGGGGGCTGGTTGACAGGAACACCAGCGCCCGGAGACCCCGGCTGGCCTTGCCCCCAGGGATAAAGCGGGTGGCCAGGTTTCCCTCCATGTTATACACCTCCACATAGCCTGACACGCTGACGGCCACCCTTTCCTTGTTTGGCAGGGCGGCCACGGCATGGCTGGCCTGGGAGTGGCTCAGGGTCCGGCGCCACAGCACCTCACCATCGGGTCTGATGAGATAGAGCCGGGCGCCGGCCGAGAAGGCCACCGCGTCCTGCAGGGTAGCCACACTGCATGGGGAGCAGCCCTCAGGGACAGGTACAATGCCCTTGTAGTCGCCATTGAGGGAGAAGCGCTTCAGTGTCTTGTTCTGCTCATCCGCCACCAAGATCTCCTGGGAGCCGAAGGGACAGAGCCCGGTGATCCGGGGAGACCACTTGTCTCCAGGCATCCGAATGGGGAAGCTGCAGAAGAAGACAGGCTTGGGAAGGAGGCGGGAGCCTTCCAGGCTCGGCCCAGGTGCAGGGCTAGACTCCCGGGAGAGGGATTGGAACATGTTTTTGAAATTTTTCTTCCTGTGGGATCTGCCACTTCTCTGGGGCTGGGCTCCTCCGTCTCCTCTGGGGACCTGGGCTGTGTTCTCCTTTGGAGTCGGAGCACCCTCTTCTCTCAGGACCTGCGCTCTGTCCTTTTTTGGGGTCTGGGCCCCAACTTCTTTCTGGACCTGTGTTTTCTTCTCTTTTGGGAACTTGGGGACATTCCCACTCTGCGATGGGACCCCACCTCCCTGCTTTGTCTTGGCTCTGTCCTCTCTCTGGGCTGCATCCTCTTGCTGGGGACCAGCTCCCTCTTTCTCATCATCTTTCTGGGGTTGCTGCTCTTCAAAGGAGAGTTGAAGCAGGTGGCAGTTCTTGTCCAGCAGTCCAGGATGAAGCTCCAGCCGGGGCAGCAGACAGGGGGATGGTCCAGGTGTCCAGGGACAATCTTGCAGCTGTTGGAGCCTCTGGGCTATTGCCCCCTCCAGTGAGAGAATCTCTGCCTCCCGACCCAGACTGAGCACTCGCCGGGCAAACGTGGCTGCCGTCCTGGCCACCTGCTCCCGGCTCTCAAGCTCCACCAGCCGCCCCCGAGCAGCCTCCTCAGAGGCCTCCACGTGGGCCCGAAGCTGCCCCAGCACCTCCTGCTTCTGGGCCAGGAGGGCCCGGAGGATCCGCTCAGCTGCCTCCTCCACCTGCATCCCCACCTTGGCCGCCTGCTCCCGCAGCTGGGCCAATGCTTCTTTCTCGGCCATCCGGGTGGCCTCCAGCTCTGCCAGGCTGTTGTCCACGCCTGTGAGCAGCTCCTCCAGGCCCGGTCGCCGGGCCTGCACCGCCTCAGCCAGGGGCAGGCATGGGTGGTCCAGGTGGGGGTCTAGGCGGCATTCGCGGCATAGCAGCTGGGAGCAGGGCTGACACAGGAAGCGAAGAGCCTCCCCTGGGTGCTGGGGACACTGGGCTGCCTGGCGCTCCCGGGCCTCCTCGTCGTACCACCCTGCCCTGTAGCCCACCAGGTCTACCACTCGGTGGGCATGGGTCTGGCGGGTGCAGCGGTGCCCGTCAGCACAGGCCTGGCACAAGTCGTCGGCACAGTCGAGGCAGCGGGCTGTGGCTGGCCCTCCGGTGCTGGTGCCTCCCATGAGGGGACACAGGGCACAGGCTGGCTTCCCTGCACGTAGGTCTCCTCCTGCGCGGGCGGCCACCAGGTCCAGGAGCCCGTTGACGAAGAAATTGGTCTTGAAGGCAGCTACACCTTCTGCTGGCACTGGCACGACCTCCCGGCACTCGGGGCATCGCAGGTGGCCGCCCTCAGCCAGCTGGGCCAGGCAGGCCTGGCAGTAGGTGTGCAGGCAGGGCAGGGTCTTGGGCACCCGCAGCTGCTCCAGGCAGATTTTACAGGCCAGGAAGTCACTGCTCAGGGCCTCCAGCAGGGAGGGAGAGGAACCCTGGGAAACCATCCTGCAAGTGGAGAGGTCATGGGGTCAGAGGTCAGAGGGTGCCTCTAGCCTGGACGCCTACCCCATTCAGGATCTCCAGGCCTCAGATCTCACCTGACTCGGCAGGAATTTCCTTCCAGCCTTCTGGGTCTTCCGGTCACTTCCCGGTGAGCTAAGGAGCCTCCCTCTTCTTCCTCACATACATCCAGTAAACTCACGTTGCTGTTTCTGTGTTATCAGGGGCTGTGAGGAATAGCAAGGCCAGTAAGGAGCCTGGCTGGGTGAGTAAGTGAGGAGCCTACTGCCCACAGTTACAGCTCTTGAGGGCATAGTGGTCCCAGCTGGGGGGGTCAATGGGGGCAGGACAGGTAGTAACGGAATCTCTAAGAAGGGGACCAGGTGGGCGAACCACTTTGACTAAGGAGGTGGGCATACAGACCCTGAACCCCAGCCTCACACACCTGTCTTCTAGACCCAGGGGCCAGCATTAGGGATGAAGGGGACCCTCTTCCTGCCCCACTCTTGCTTAATGAGACTCTGGACCAGCATCACTTCTTGGAGTCCTTTTCTTTCAGCCAATCGCTTATCCCCAACTCCCTGCAGGGCAGGCCCTCCAATATCATCACTGAATGCTTCAAATAACTGGGTGCGACCTCCCCTCCCCTCTCCCCCCCAGGAAGGAGAGCTGGAGTGGGAGGAGGTCTTTTCAGAGACAGCAGGCCATGATGGGATGTGAGGGGTAATAAGGGGGGGGGCCTGCCCTGCCTCTCCCCTACCCCTCCCTCCTTCCCCTCCTCTTCCTCCCGCGCGCCTTCCCCTCCCCTCCCTCCAAGTCCATCGGGTCCCCGCGCGCCCCCCGCCTTCCTACCTAGCCCCAGCTGGCCGTGGCAGCGCGGACTGGGAGTGGGGCCCAGGGACCCGGGCCCGGACGCTGCTGTTGCTGAGCTTCGGAAAGAGAAACAAAACTGAAACTAATTGTACTTGAGCAACTTCCGTCCCCAGCCCGGGACACTGCAGGCCCCGCCTTCTTCCCCACCGCCCAGGCGGCGACCTCCTCCTCCGGGCGGGTCCCGGGTGCCTGCAGCCCCAGGGTTCGGGCTCTGACCCCGAGCTTGGTGCTGCCGCTGCTGCACACACCTCCTGGATGTTTATAATAACAGATCCACAGATCATCAGTGACTCAGAGATGGACGGCAATCAAGTCCCTAGGCGGGTTTCCTGGCGCCCCAAGCAGCTATCTTCAAAATACACAAACAAGACAAACGGGGAGGAGTCAGCAAAGACTTTCTGGAAGAGGCTCACCTGGGATGAGATGTTGTTAGTGGGTGCCATCCGGCCAGAACTGACCCATACAGTGGGTTTGCAGAGGAAGTAAAATCCCACGGAAGAAGATTGCCCATTCTTCTCCCACAGAGCAGCTGGTGGATTCGAACCCTGTGCCTTTGAGACTGTAGTGCAGTTTCCTACCACTAGGCTACCATAGTCAACAGTCTTGGCACCAGCAGCCAGGAAATTAAAAGGCGCATTGCAATGGGAAAGGCTGCTGTTAGGGACCTCTCCAAAGTGCTGAAGAGCAATAGTGTCTCTTTGGAGACTAAGGTGCATCTGATACAGGCCATGGTCTTCGCAATCACCTGTTATGCATCAGAGAGTTGGACAATGACCAAGGAGGATGCCTTTGAGCTGTGGTGCTGGAGAAGAGTATTGAGAATACCATGGACTGCTAAGAAAACAAACAGATTTGTCCTGGAAAGGGTTAAACCGGGTGGCTCCTTGGAGGCAAGGATTCTGAGGCTCCGTCTAACATACTTTGGACATGTTGTGAGGAGAGACCAGTCCTTGGAGAGGGACATCATGTTTGGGAGGGTGGAGGGACAGCGCAGGAGAGGAAGGCCCTCTATGAGGTGGATTGATTCAGTGATTGGGATAATTGGGATGGGAGTGTCGGAGACAGTGCGATTGGCACAGGACAGCGGAGTTTAGGGCTGTTGTACATAGGGTCGCTATGAGTCGCAGGCGCATAACAACAACAGGCTACCACAGCTCTTAGACTGTAATGGATAAGAATGCAGAGAAGCGCTTCATAGAAACTGGGGTCATTATATACGAAGAAGGAAGAAGTGAGTACCAAAAAAGTAAGTAAAAGAGAGCTGGCCGCTGAAGATTGAAGATGCCCAGGTTCGACGACCCCCAACACCGTTACAGAGACCGGGGTAACCCTTCAAGTATCAGGATAAAAGAAATGACCAACTTGAACCAGCTGCTGTGACATCATATTCTCCCCTGGCTACTGGTCCTGGGCCATCCCAATCCAGCCTTTAGCCCCAGATCTTCGTCCCTGTTCAGCAGGAAGTAACCAGAAAGAATACATCACCCTTTTTTCTTACTAAAGAGGCTGGGATGTCAGGCCCCAACCAAGGTCAAAGAGAGAACAAGGGATTCAAGGAATATCAACTTGTCAACAAAGGGAGTGAACAGCCTCAACTACCATGGAGTCCCTCCCTAGGTGATCACCTGCCTGGCTAAACCACAACGGAGTGTCCCTCTGTCCCTCCCTAAAGATCCTCACTATAAAACCTGCCCCAATCAGCTTTAGGGTGTGGTTTTCCTGCGATCTGTCTCTCTCTAGAGCAAGGAATCCCTCCTGAGAGCCCCCTTAATAAAGCTTCTTTAGCTTTAAAAAAAAAAATAAGTAAAAATTGCACTGGGCTGTGCTTTGCTGTACAGAAGTAACTTGTGGTTGCAGTGATGGTGAACACTGTGACACTGAAGTGTCAAATGTGATAATGGCTACCCATGTTGGATAGTGTTTGCTGGAGCTCCCCGAGTAAAACAAGCCTAGAAGCAGGAGTGGCATCCATTTCCGAAATGGCTTGCCTCCAGAAACTCTATGAACAGTGCTCAGGCCTTTCGTTCACAGGGTTGCTATGAGTCACCTACGACTCGACGGCACCTAACAACAAAAGAAATGGAATATGAGTTGTGTGAAGGGTACACGTGAGCTACGCCAGACAAGGTCCAAGGAGACAGGACCAGATCATTAAGGACGCCATGGTCTTCCTTAAGGAGTCTGCGTTTTTATCCAAAAAGCCAAAAGAAACCATTATAGAATTTTGTGAACACTTTCAAGAACAGAACAAGTGGAAAGAATTGCACCATGCACACACCCACATCCCCACAAGTTACCCTCTACAGAGGGTGTTTTGTTTATCTGCCATGCACATGAATTGTGTCCTCCCAGAAGGAGACTTCAAAGTCCACAGAGCCTGTGAACAAGACTTAGTTTGGAAAGAGGGTTTTTAAAAATATTTTTTTTTTTTCAGCTTTGTTATCCTGAGATCCTTGCAGGAAGAGAAAGTCCAATCCAATCAGTGTGGCATTCTGAAAAGAGAAGAGAGGGACACACAGGCAACGGCTGGCTATTTGAAGAAACATCTAGAAGCCAAGGAATAGCAGATTTTGGAGAAGCCACCAGAAGCTAGGTGAAAGGCATGAAACAGGCTTTCCCTCAGAAGGAATTGACATAGCTGATATGGATTTGAACTTCCAACCTCTAGAACAGTAAAATAATACATTGCTGTTACTTATGATGTCCTCCAGGGGGAGCTTACTCATTAGCTGACCCCTCCAGTGGGTTTTCCAAGGTTGTAAATATCACAGAAGGTGGGAAATTACCTGTCTTTCCCCCTCTGACCTCCTGCTGGATTTGAACTGCCAGAGTGGACTCCCCTTTGGGTTAACAGTGCAACCCCCCCCCTACAGATTACACCCCCAGAACTTCCTCCTTGCTTGTAGCAGCCCTAACCCTCACTATGGCCTAGCTGGTTTCGAAACCTAGCGATCCTCCCTCTGGTTTCTGTGGGTCTGGTTTCTGAGGGCCTGAATCTTTGTGGGTCTGGTTTCTGAGGGCCTGAATCTTTATGGGTCTGGTTTCTGAGGTCCTGAATCTTGGTGGGAGGGGACTGCCCATGTGTCCTTGGAGCTTCTGATCCATTATTATATTAGCATAATATTCAGTTAGCCAGCAGAGGCCCTCAGAAATTAATAGAGTGGTTGAAACGGAAACAAAAACAAGCATCAAAACCCTATTGCTATGGACTCGATTCTAGCTCATGGAGGCCCCATTGTGTCAGAGTAAAACTGTCCTTCATAGAGTTTCAGTGATTGATTTTTTCTTAATCAGTTCACGAGGCCTCTCTTCCCAGGTACTTTTAGGTGGTCTGAACTCCTAGTCTTTTGGTTAATATCCAGGGAAACAAATACAATCATTTAACCACAGTGATGGGAGTTAAGTAGAAAGCAGAGATAATAAGACAAATATCTTTGTTGCATGGGTTTATGACTCAGAGAGTACTGGCAAAATGTATTACAATTGTAAAATCACACAATGGGGGCCATGAGGTTCAACATCCATTTATAATTTCTCGTGAAATCAATCCATAAAGGTAAGGCCTTAAAGGGAATGAAAATCTTATCAGTGAAGTATTATGGTCCAAACAATTATGCTTCTTGTTGGAAGTACCCATTGCTGACCCTCCAGTGGGTTTTCAGAAGCAGTTAATCTAATCTCATGGGAGGAGAGTTCCCATCCTTCTCCTGCATAATTATACCTGTTGTTATGTGTTATGTTGAGTTATTTGCAACCCTATTTACAACAGCTCTCAAGGCTGCTCTATCTTGAACCAATTTCATTGTCTCTAACACACCTACCCCTATTACCACAGTAGCTGAGTGTTATCCAGTGTCTTCCTCTCTTGTGCTGTCCCTCCACCCTTCCAAATATAATGTCCCTCTCTAAGGACTTATCCCTCCTTCCAACCTACTCAATGTATGTGAAGTGGAGCTTCAAAACCTTGCCTCCAAAGAGCAGCCTGGTTTTACCTTCTCAAGGACAGACTTGTTTGTTGTCTTAGCAATCCATGGTATGTTTAGTACTCTTCTCCAGCACCACAACTCAAAGGCATTGAGTCTTCTAGCATCCTTATTCATTGTCCAGCTCTCTGATGCATAGCAAATAGTAGTGAACACCATGGCTTGAATCAGACACACTTTAGTCTCTACACCGACATCATTGCTCTTCAGTCCTCTGGAGAGGTCCCTGACAGCAGATTTTTCCAATGCAATTCCTCTTTTGATATCCTGCCTGCTGGCACCAGGAGTGTTGATTGTAGAGCCAAGCAAGTTGAAGCTGTTATAATCTCAATCTCTCCTCTGTCTATCATTATGCTGCCAATTGTCTCAGTAGTAAGAATCTTTGTTTTCTTCATATTGAGTGTTACAGACCTTGGCCTTCTGTAGCAAATGCTTCCACTCCTCCTCAGTTTCAGCAAGCAAGGTTGTATCATCTGTATAACACGGGTTGTTGATGAGTTTTCCTCCAACCCTGATGCCACATTCTATGCCTAGCAACTAGTTATTCTTAGCCAGTATTATGCCTAGCAACTCATACTTCATAGCCAGTTTTCAAACAAGCATACTGCTCACCACAGTGGACTATTCATTCAGAAATCCAGCCAGGGGGACTGTAGAGAGATGTAGGATGAGGTGTCTTGTTCTGTCTATGCCTCTGGTTTTTGCAGCTAGTTAAAATATAATATCCTGTGCTAGCACCAAGTCAGAGTCTGTTGTTGCAAATATGAGGTGGACCTGATCAATGAGACATCTATTCCCTAGATAAACATGTTGCTATCCTGCACGATATTTTTCAGGAATACAACTAATTTAAGTTTAGAGTGTTTCATTTCAAGATTAGCACACTGAGCCTCTGGCATTAATACAGTATTTTTTTTCTGATTAACATGTTTATTTTCTGGGCCTGATATATAGCATCTTTTGATCAACATTTAGCTTCTTGGCCTTTTCTATGAAGATGGGGCCAAAAGCGAAGATGGGGAGCCCCTGCTTCTCCCAAAACCTAAAATTGAAGCCAAAGCGAAGGTCTTAAA